CTTTTAGTACTTGATTTTTAACAAGTTTGTAAAATTTTCTTGTTATTTAGGAAAAAAAAAAAAAAAAACCACCAGTGTTAGGCACAGAACCTGACCTGCCTCATCACAAACTATTACAACAAAACACTTCACCCAATAAATGCATTTCTTTTAGGCAAAAACATTACAAGTGAAAATGTCAACAAAACCATTCATTCCTGTTAACCATTCTTCAATCTGGAATAAGTAGAAATGTATGGAACCAGGAATTTTAAACAGTGTTTTTAATTGAAAATAAAGCTAAAGCATGCTTTTCAACAGTGCAAATTTCCATAATTTTGATTTACTGCTTCCATCATCACAACACAGTACACCAGCATGGCCCTTACCAAGGGCTAGACCCTAGCCATTTGCATGTTGAACTACTTTGATTTTAAGTGCAAATATAGATAGTCACCTCTGATTGTCACTTGCAGTAGAAACTCTCCTGCTCTATACACAAGATGGTCTGAAAACAGAAGTTTAGAGATGCAGAAAAAAGTATATAAGGTAATAAAATCCAAGTGCCTGAGTTCTAGTACCAAAAAGCCCTGAAATAACTGTTCATTTTCATTTGGGGTATTATAACTCTGACCCCTCTTTCTTTTTCTTGGTTGTATTTACTACTTTGTCACTATGAAGAGTTAGACCATAAAATATCCTGCTATTAAAAGAAATATTTTAATTGTACTGAAAGTTTGAAGAGTCATGTTCAGAACACAAGATAAGCAGGACAAGAGTAAGTCATCTTATTTAAAACATTTGGATGAGAACACAAAAAGGACTTTTCCAATTGCAAAGAGGGGCTGTAAAAGTAAAATCACATCTTTTACCCAAAAAAAAAAAAAAAAAAAAAAGAACCACCCATATTTTACTTATTCTCTATGAGGCAGCTTTTTATCAGTAATCAGGACTCACACCCCAATCTTTCCATTAAAAAAAAAAATTAAAAAGTTAAGTGCAACTATTCTTGGAGAGAGGGAATGAGGGGATTAAAAAGAAAAAGAGACCCCACAACCAAGAGCACCAGAAAATTACATTTTGGGCTCACAGAAACTTCTTGTTACCTCACTGTGTAACCATGTAACCTAACAAACTTTCACTGAATTAACAGTTACACTTTCAGGTCTGAAATCTAGTGCATAAACTTAATGGCTCATTGTAATATTTATTATTCAACCTTTTGACATTTATTTGTAGCAGTTGAATTGAGGTACCGGTGCATTATTAGTATTGAAACAGTAAAGTGTTCCAGCTCTACCATAATAACTGAGTTTTACTTGAGTCTTTAGCCTGAAGTAGTCTGTGGTATGTAAACCAACCCTTCTCCCACCCCACCCCCACCCTACTTAAAAAAAAAAAAAAAACAAAACCCCGCAATGGAAAAAAAGTAATCCGATTTCTGTCTTCAAAATGCGATAAACCAGGACTCCAAAGGGGATGTAACACCATTAATGGACTTGTACAAACCATCCTGTGCAGTTTACAACAAAAGGAAGGTAATATGGTTCAAGAAAATATCTTCCAAAACATTTTTATGAATTAAATTTCCTGAATTTGTGACTAGGTGGAAGAGGTATTGCAGAACCGCCCAGCTGCCATTTCCATATAGGATGGGCCTTGTGAGGAGGTTGGGAATCCTTAGTGGTGTTTAAAGAATACGCTGGCCACAAATCCCCATCTTTCCCAATAATGAGTGATGGTGGACAAGGAAAATTTGCCATGAAATTAAACGGCCTTTTCACTGCTGATGCTACATTGCTGGCTACCTTTTTGCGTCTGTTTATAACTGTAAAGTCATCCAGTGTTCCTTCATGTGTCTCAGTTTTACCTGTAGGACGAGGGCTTCTAGCTGATTTCAAATTTGGTTTGACTGGAGGAGTCTGAAGGACAGGTCGTTTTCCCAGTACTAGTGTTCGGTAATTTTTTCTCACCCTGGCACCAAATTTATATTCCCCATCCTCAGGTTTTGGAGAACCTAAAGTGCATGAAAGGCCCTGACTCTGAGCCAGTGGATTTAAGGAAGGAGTTTCTTTCTCAGGGCATGCAAAACCTTCCTTGGCTGTGGTTAACAAGGCGTCCTCCTCTTTATTTTCAGTCACACTGTAAAACTCACCCTTTGTATCATTGCACTCGCACTTTAGCTTATTTGTAACAAGATCAGGTTCATATTCTTCATTAGCACTACTGTCTTCTACTTTGATTTTAATATTGTGCAGAAATGACAATGTCTTGTCGCCTGTGTCAGTGCACAGATTCTCCACTTTAGTTGCTCCTAGTGTTGCTGCATCCACTCCAGGGTCAGTTTGTGAAGAGGGCAAATCCGTAGCAAATTCAGGACAATGAGGGATTTTKGAATCTTTTTCTGAATTTGCTGCTGCTCCTGAAGAATCATTATTTAAGAACCTAGCAGCTATTGTGTTGTTATCTGCACAGTGTGTAGTAGGAGTAGCTTGTAGGCATTTCCTAGCCTCTCCGAGTATTCTTTGTTGTGGAAATGCATTGTTTGTCTTTGGGCTAGGTGAAGAGGCCCCCTCTGCCAGGCAGTTAATTGTCAGGTCAGTTCTCTTTACAGTACTGGAAATTTCAGAGTGTGGGAATGTAATCTCAGATACCCTATCGTTCCTTATCTCTGGGAAACAACTCCCCAGGCTGGCCGGGCAGTACACTGGAGACGCTTTGGGGGCCCAACTCTGCAGATTCCACTCCTCTGGCGACTCCGCTTTGACACTACTCTTGAGGTCGGGAAGTCTGCCGGCATCCTCGAAAGCAGCGGGTTTGGTTGCAGCGGCAGCGGAGGCCAGATGGTACAAGAAGTTGGCCTGCGCCTGCACGCTGGGAGGCTTGCAGAAACTGGTGCGCCTGAAACGGATGCTCTGCACTGACACTTGGCTGGAGCCGGAGCTGGAGTCTGACTCGGTGGACGAGTCCTCCTCCTCCGAGCTGACTTCACTGGAATCCGAGGCCCCACTGCCCCCCTCTTCCTCCTCCTCCTCCTCTTCCTCCTCCTCTCCTTCCTCCTCCTCTTCCTCCGAGGACACAGAGTTGCTGGAACTGGACAAACTGGAGCCAAAATCCGAGTCGTTGGCTGCATGGTCCGAATAGGAACTGGACTCGGAATCGCTGCTACAGCTCTCGGGAAAGCTGCCTAGATGGGGCTGCGGCCGGTGGTGGTGAGGGGGGTGGTGATTCGGTTGCGGCTGCTGGGCCCGGTGGTGGTGGTGGTGGTGATGGTGGTGGTGGTGGTGATGGTGGTGGTGGGGAGGCGGGCAGAAGTTGTTGACCAGATGAAACCTCTCCAGGCAAGTGGCACCGGCAGCTGCCGCCGCCGCCGCCGCGGCGGCCGCCGCCGCCGCCGCCTTGGCTTTGTAGGATCTGGGCAGCAGCAGCAAGCGCCGAGCGCCAGCGTGGGGCGCGAGCAGGCAGTCCTTGGAGCCCCCGCGCTTGCGCTTGCACCGGTAGGTCAGGTTCACCGGGCCTCCGGCTCCCGCCGCCGCCTTGGGCTGGGGCCCAGCAGCCGACGCCTGGTAGTAGGCGGCGGCTGCGGCTGCGGCAGCGGCGGCGGCTGCGGCAGCAGCCGCAGCGGCCGGATGCTTGCTGCACAGAAGGCTCCGAAAATAAGCAGGGTCCGAGTGAAAGGCGACGTAGTTTCCCTGGAGCGGGGCAGTTTCATAGTTTAGAGGGGGTTTGCAAGGCGAGCGTACAATTTCCGGGTAGTGCGAGCCCGGGTATTTGCTAAAAATCTGAGGTAGATGGGCGGCAGGGCGCGCGGCGGCGGCGCCGGGGCGCTGGGACTGCGCGCTGATTGGCAGGGGCCGCGCGGCTCCGCTCAGGCCCCGCCAAAGTTGGTGCTTGTCCTTCCAAAACCCCGGGCGGGGGCTGGCGGCGGCGGCGCGCTCTGGCGGCGGCGCCTTTGTGACCAGGGCCCGGCCGGCCCTCCTGCGCTTGGTCTTGAGGACACGCTCGGTTTTGCAGGAGGTGTAGAGCGCTTCCACGTCTTCCCGGGAGATGAGCGTGCATTTGGCGGCATGGAAGGCGATGCTGTTGATTGCCTTGAGTTTCCTCAACTCTTCCAGATCGCAGTGGTGCTTTTTCACTTTTAGATGATCCATGCGCTTGTGCACGGTCGTCCTCGGGATGTTTTTCAGCAGATCTGTGAAGACTTGGGAGAGGGCAAACATTTGCTTTCCTTTAATGATGAGGTAGCCGAGCCTCACGCCATCCACCTCTTCAAAACCTGACTTCAGGTCTCCCATCTCGGGCACTAAATGATCCCCACCATTTGCAGTAAATATATACGTGACGCATACATACACATGTATGTATGTTAATCCTCCGCCAGATGCTGCGTGTGTCTCAAGGCATCCTGCTAATAAAATAACAAAGACTGTTATTCCCGGCGAAGGGAGTGCCAAATTGTAGGCAAAATTATTGGGGGTAAAAACCCCATGAAATTACACTGACTTGATTCTTGCTTTTTTTTTCTTTTTCGTTTTTTTTTTAAAAAGAGGGAAAAAACCATCCGGTTCCTGATCTGCCAGTGTGTTGCTCTGAGTCCTCGATGCAGATCAGTACCTGGGCCCCTCTATTCCTTCTCCATTGGAGCACTATGATAATGGAATGTGAAGGGAGAAAGAGAAAAGAAATGCAGCTGCTATTCCCGCCGCTGCTTTAGCTACAAATAAAATGACAGAGTGAAGTGAGCTCGTCCGGAGACACCTTCATCAATTAATTCCCCTAAAGCCAACGCTGATTGGACACTCCTGACAGGTGATGCAATAAAAATTGATATTCCACCCCTTCCCCCCAAAATCTCCTACTAATTAGCATACCCTTATACTGCCACCTCCCCTCCCAAAGTAAATAATACAGTCGGTATATAAATCTTTCCATTAAACTATCGGAGCTCAGAAACAGCCTGACTCACAGACTTCATCAGAAGCAGTGTGTGTAGGCTTAAAAAAAAAAAAAAAGTATATTCCCCTTTAAAGAAATATTGCCTATTTTTGCTTTATTTGCACTTTACCGATACAGCTATTATCCTTTCAAAGAAAAGCATTTTTAAAACATTATCAAGTCCAAATAGATATACCCCACCCACTTTTCCTTTGGAAAATGGAGCTTAAGCGAAAATGTGCAGAATAGCCTGGTATTTCCCTTATGGGAGTGGGGAAGGAGACCGGCTCCGAGCTCCAAAGTTAAACCGCGCGGTGAACCCCCCCACCCCAGTACAGACTTACGTTTGGAATTTCTCTCGATTTTCCTTATTTTTTCCCCCCTGAAATGCCTTTTTACAACCAGAAACAAAGTTATTTAACCAAGGAAACAGTTCAAGGCTCCAGCTCCGAAACAGTGTAACAATTCAACTGGATTTCGGTTTTCTGCTGGGGGGTGGGGTGGGGAGGAGGTAGTTTCACGTCAGACCCATAACAAAGCATAGATAAGCCAGAAATGTGTACACTTTTCACAATTAACCAGGCTGGATTGTAGGCGGGATGTCCAAGAGTCCCCAACACAGCCTTTGCCACGGTCCTGTTCACAACAGATCAGAATTCCAGGGAACAGATTGCTTCCTTCTGCAGCAAAGAAAAATGTAAAACGCCCAAGGTGCTTCCAGAGGTTTTACGTAACAACAATGAAAAGAAAGTGCTGATGTAAGTTGCAGGCTATTTCATTGGTCTGTGATGCTTTTGGTTGGTAGTTTAGGTGAATCTTCCACAACTCCCATTTTTTCCATGAAAGCCAAGCATCTGCTTCAACAAAATCACTTTGGATGAATATCAATATGGTTTAACCTCTTCTTAGTCAAATCAAGGCATAGTTTGCTGTTTTCAAAGATGTCCAAAATATTGCCAAAAGACAGCAAGGTTCTTTCCACTTTTATTACCAGGATCCCAAGACGGCTTGTTGGCTGCTTTGCAAAATTTGGCAAAATCTTCTTAACTGTTCGGTGTTTGTAACTACAGCACAAATGCAACTCAGGCATTTATGTTTCCTTCTTCCTCCAAAAATAGACACATCCGTGTGGTTAAAGAATAAACGGATATTTCTGAGCCTGCAAGAAAAAAAAATTGCTCAATAATTTCTTTTTTCACATTCAAAAGTTCCAGGTTCCCTGCTCTGGTCTGGCTAACAGGAGTAGGTATGGCAAACAAACAAACAACCAAACACAAACACCAAAACCAAATCAGGAATCAGACACAAAAAGGTAGTTTGCTTGACAAGATGAAATCTCAGCCATAGTTCCCCACCCCCACCCTTCATCTTCCTTGTAATTTCCCAGGAATTTTGAAGAGAATTGGGAATTTCAAGAAGTACATCCGGAAATTAAGGAAGTCTATTTAAGAGAGTCTGTAACTCAGGAGGTTGGGATTTGAAAAGTCAGCCCTGGACTACTGTTGCACTCAGCACAGATGTAATCGCCGCTCTTCAACTTAATCAATGTGTGTACAAACCGAGATGTCTAGTTCTTGCCTTTGAAATCTAAGGCTAGCATTTCCATCCAAGAAATCAGAGCTACAGCAAATTACATTTTTGTCCCTTGAATGAGGGAAGGATCATTGAATGGATCTCGTGATATTTCAGGCTTTAAACGTAACCGAGAGGCAGCAATGAACAATGCCTCGTCACAGCTAATACCATCCACCGAGTTGGCTTTCTTTTGCATCTGGATCTATCACACCACGTTTTTCTCTTTCACTTTCACAGGAGGCAAAATGCACAAGGTTTAAACAGAAAGCGAAGTTTCCAGGAATATCAGATGGTGGTGTTTGTTTTTTAAAATAGAATGACCAGAGTCTATTGCCAGGGAAAATCATGTCGTTTTAAAATTCCTCCTGATGCACTTATATACTGCCAGCCCTCTCCCTCCCACCCACCCCCGCCCATTCTCCCCTCCCCCAGCTTTAAGATTTAGACCAGAGTCAAACAGCTAAGAAATAGTAAACTCAAAAAGGCCTTTGAGAAGACATTACAAAAGATTGGCGAGAGCGTCATTTTTTTAGGGGGAGGGCAGGTAGTTTTAGTTGTTCTTGATTCTTGTTTAGATACACACACACACACACACACACACACACACACACACTCCTATTGCTCCTGCACATAGTAACGTGATTTAGTAACCATTTCAAATTTACCTTCTTCTTTCCCTTCCTCTCTTTCCACCTTTAAATTACTGGCAATATATGTGGCTTTCAAAACTAATAGAATATTAAATATTTTCTTAAACTGTAGGTATTAATTTGTTGAGGGCAATTAGAGAAAAATAAAGACTAGGCAATTTGGGAAATGTGTCTACATATACTATTTATGCAGTGTCTCTGTATGTGCACTCAGACACCTTTACACTTATACATTTTTAATACTCCTATTACACATCTTTTTTTCTTGTCTAACACATTCTTTTGTTCCTTTAACTTCCTATCATTTGTGTATGTGTGTGTGTGTGTGTGTGTGTGTGTGTGTGTGTGTGAAGGCTCTAGCACTGGTGCTCCTGCATGTACATACACACACACACACACACACACAGAATGTGACAGACAGCTTTCTTGTGGCCATCAGCACAAGTAGCATATCCGGGGTCTTCTCCAGGCACATTGGGGGTCGATCCCGATAAAAAGATCTAGCAGAGGCCCCTGAGCGCTCACACATGAAAGGCAGGGGACTTTAAGATGGATTTGCATGCACACCGGGGATTTCAATCAATAGCTACCAACATTTATGGCTTAGATTATTAATGCGAAAGCTGGCCAAAAGAATGGGGATGAAAAATTAAAGGTGTCTGTTATCAATTATGCTTAAAGTTATGCAATAATTTACTTACTTTGCCTGGGTGTGCAGATCCAGATGTATAAAATACTATTCTTCAAAAGCCAGGGGTTTTCTTTGATAAATTTGTTGACCATGTCAGCTCTACAATCAAAGATGAACCCAATTCAGATGATGGACTGTATTCAAATTCTTTTTAAAGAAAGAATATATCAACTTCTATGTTTCTATAATGCATGTGTATAGGTGGATGAATATGCCCAAATTAACATTTATGTATGTATTATGTGTGTGTGTGTATACACACACACACACATATATATATATATATATATATATCCATCTCTGTAAGTCCAGGGTTTTATTGTGAATTTAGGCATGTATGCGATATGCATTGAGTTTGTCAATTAAATATGATCCTTTACTCAGTAAGGAATGCATAATCTACATGTTATTCTAAAAAGTATTTTAGTTTTAAAACAAAGCTGCTTACTCAAGGAAAATCCTCTGTAGCAAATACAGATTTAAATATATTCTTAATGTCCACTTACTTCTGCATTTACTGTAAAAAAATCAGCACTTTCAGTTTTTAAAGTGATGGACTATGAAGATCTGAACATATTTGTCTTTACTTATCCCATATGAATGTGCTAAATTTACCTTCAGATGCTCTATTTTGATTTATTTTCACTGTATTTTATGTTTAAATACCATAGCAATTCAGTCTGACCTCTTTCCTCTGGAGCGAAGTAATGMACACGGCATTTACAGTCTTTTAAATGGTTAGCTGGGAAATGCAATAGCAATTTGCAGGAGTAGTTTACTAATGGGGAAAGTTCTTTTGAAAACCTGAAGGAAAACCTAAGAGTACTTTTGCATTTCTACACTACAACTGTCATATAATTAAAGTATTGAAGAGCATTAAAATAATCCTTTTCCTTCCAAGCTCTCTCACCCATACATACATAATTTAAATGAGGATCACCCCCCCACCCCTACCACCTAACTCTTCACCATATACATTTGTTTTAGTGATTGCTGGGCATATTTTGTTCAAAGTGAATTCAGACAGAAAAGAATAAGGAACATCTCAAAGGCCTCAACAATGTAAGTATACTGGTTAGAAGAATAAAAGAAATCCCTTATTAGTAACTAAAGGTATGTATAATATTTACAATATGAAGTCTAAAATAATAATAAAGTCTCATATAGTTGAATTAGTGGAGCATACAGGACAATAAAATCTCAACAGTTTCTTGGTTAAACTTATCTAATATCACACCTATACTTTTGGGAGAGGAAAATGGGAATGGACGAAGATGAAATGGCTAAAATGAAGAATAACTTAAATTATAATTTGATATATTTTCCTTAATTTTTTTTTTTTTTTTGGTCTCATTCAAACATATCAGGGGCAAGTCTTTCAAAGGGGGCCATCCTTCTGTTCTTAGCCATTTAAAAATCCTGTTCTTAACAGAAGTTTGGGACACAGAGTATATGCCATGTTGTCTACTGACCCATAATCAAAATGCAGTGACCTTCTACCCTTTTTTTGCCCCCTGACCCATCTTGAATTCAATGCAGCCTTTATAAATTTGCAAATCCTTGGAGGTAAAGGGGTTTTGTGAGGCTTTGTTCTGAAAAAGCCCTAAGAGTATGCTTTCTAAATGAGACAAAGGTAAAGCAGGAAACCCTAGTGGATGAGATTTTACACAGGTGAGCAATAGGCAACTCTTCAGATAACATATATTGCAAGGTAAAAAGCAGTTATAAACAGGAGACAAGGAGGTTATGGATTGCATCAAATTAGAGTGTGGTACAAATTACTTTCATGATGTAAGAAATGGTTAGGCCACAATCTTCCTGCTTTTCTCATCTCAAGGGCTGTGGGGGACCCTAGTGACCAAGGAAGGAATGGGGGTAGGGGGAATCTGTGAGGGAGGGAGGGAAGAAAGGAAAGAAAGAAAGGAGTGAGACCTGATATGATCTGCAGGCACATTTCCTTATCTTTCCTGCTATCAGCCAGTTTAAAGGACACCATAATTATGATGGTGATAAAACAATGCCTGCTTATGTGTGCTGAATAAATAAAGAATGTTTACAGCTCAAGAATCTTTTAATTCCAATTAAATACTATCAAAGAAAAACCACTTTTCCTACTGCAACCGCCTTTCCCCCAATTATCTTGTTTGTTGCAATATTTTCTTATGAGACACAAGGACCTTTCACAATTGATCCTGAATGCAGGGAGAAAAATCAGAGAAAGTAGAGTTCGACCTTTATATATTAAATAATACACAAATCTCAAGAACAACCATTTATTTGGGTTGCCCCAGTTTGTGTTTATTTTACACGAAGGCCACATGTGTAGAGACTGAAGTGATGACACTAAGTGTTGAGGCCTACCTATGGACTGCTGGAGCCATGCTGAGCTCCTGAGCACCCAGGAGGGGAGAAAAGAAAGACAAGACAAGAGCTGCCTGATGGTCCCTGGAAAGGGAATCCTCTGGTTCTGTTCCCCTGGCTTCAGCCCAAATCCTTCTAGGAGCCCTGGAGCCAATCACTGTCTTCCACTGCTGCAGCTACTGGGAACACACAAAAAGCGGGAGATCAAAAAATCACAAGTTCGAATTTATGGATATACAAGTATCATTTCATATTCATGACATCAGCAAATCACATCATAATCAGATTTAACAAGGTTTGGGCTGTAGTGCCTGGCATGCAGGACACTAAACACTACCTACTAACCAGAAAAATTTATTTTCTCTTTTGGAATTATACAGTGAAAATTAAGTCTTTTAATTGAAAGATTACTTTTCATTTCAAAGACCAATTTTTACAATAATAAATTTCAAAAAAAGTCTCTTTTTAAGTTATTTTACAACACTTAAATTCAAACTTCTATTTCCTTTCTTTCTCAGTTGTAGTAGTGTTTTGTTTTTTAAAGACACATGGTACAGCAAGCCTTATGGAAAATGTACTCATTCTGCTAAATGTGTATACAAACCTGCCTTTTACTCCATGTGTCTAATGCATAGCTAACTATAAACTGAAAAAAAAAAAAAAACAAACACAACAACTACAACAACAACAACAAAAACAAAAAAACAAAAAAGCAACCCAACAACAAACTTTCCTCAAAGAAACATCTAATATTTCTTGGTAAATACTATTTGGTAATGTGGTGCAAAAATCAATAGTAAAAAATTTCAGGGGATTTTTAAGTTTTCTGGAGAGTTACAGGCCCCTTTCCTTTTGAAAGTTTAGAGCTTCAATACCCTCAATTCTACTGGCAGAATTAGGATGGACTTAGAGGGTCCTAAACGTGACCGATTCACTAAGGCGGGGGGCTACAGCTTGCAGCAACGTGCTCGGCAACTTAATCCTACGCTAAAAGAGGGCAGAGAGCGAAAAAGAATGGAATACAAACTATCTCGACATTCGTAGTTACTTTCAAGGTGGATTGTGTATTTTAAGGCTGATGGGAGCATCTGTTTTTTGGAGCAAAAAGAAGAGAAGGTAAGTGTTTGTCCTTGTATGCACCAGTTCTAGAGAAACAATGAAAGAACAAAGGGAACCATTTCCCCATCTGAACATTTTTCTGTATCTCCCTCCCTTTCTTGCCAAAAAGCTTGTGAGAGGATTCGCTTTCCTCTACCTTAAGTAGTAGTTGTTGCTAGGCTTGTTGAACTAAGAATAAAAGTTCAGAGGCAGTGTAAATATAGATTAAATAATAATAGTAAAGGCTTGCTATGGCGAATCTCTGCAGGGCCAGTCTCAGCAACTTGCAGCAGAAGTTGCTAAATGCATGAAGGCAAAGCCCAAGAAATTACCTATGCATACTAGATTTCGAACTCAGTCACTTAAATAGCCTTTATTGCTGTTTAAAGGGGTTTCTGCGAACAAAATATATAGGTATTATCGATGGGAAGGAAGCGGTGTACAATTTAGGTCCAAAAATGGCTCTATTGGTATCAGGAAGAGAATATTTTAAAGGGAAAGAGGATTCAACTGTTGACGCTACGGTTTTCTAATGGAAGAAATGGCAGCGGTGGCTGGGAAGAGAGGGATTCGTATTTGAATGTATTTGCTTTGGGGTACCCTAGCTATCGGCAAGCTTGTCTTTGTGGGTCTGTGTGGCTGAATAAGTGACCAAGTGCCCTCGGCATTATATAAATGGATAGGCGTGTGTGGGGATGGTGAGCCCCAAAGCCGTAGAACACGTGAAACGCGATTTTTTTACTGCCCCCCAAGCGGCGACCAAGCCCTCGTCCATCCACCCCACCTCAAAATCCGTATATTACCTGCCCTGTTACAGTGACACATGTTTATGTTTATAGTCCTGGTTTGTAGTAGTGTCAAGAGCCGCAGCAAGAGGGGGAGGAGAAATGAGAGGGAGGAGTAAATGCAACCACCCCCACTTGTTGTTAAAGCAAATTTACTGCGTTATTGCAAGCTCTGTACTGGGGGCTGGGATGAGAGTTGAGAGGAAGGGTAGAGTTGGGATGTGTGTTGGGTGGAGGGGGTGGGGAGGGGTTAGGAGATCTGCGATGGAGCTCTTCCCTCCAGCAGATCGGGAAAAGCAGCTTGGTCAAAAGGGGAGCATGCTGGCGCGGTCGAAAACAAAAAGGTTCCTCCTGCTTGCTGCGTTCACGTGGGGGGCTCTGCACGAGGGGCTCTAGGGCCCTGACCTCTGACCCTGGCTCCTCCGCGCTCTCCCGGTGCCGCGCGGCCACTTTTTACCCAGGATGCCTCGCGCGGGCCGCGCTCGTGCCGAGCTCGAGTCCTTCCTAATCCTCCATTCCCTGAGTTCCCTCCCCTCCCCCCAGTCGCCAGCCTCGCGGGAGGATTCTCCGGCAGGGAACCCCCGCCCCACCCCCACCCCCACCCCCACCCCCAGGCCCGGCGGAGTCGACCGCAGCCAGGCCGGGAGGGGCGGGTAGTGCACAGCCGGGCCTCCCCAGCTGGGGCTGCGGGGGCGGAGGGGACAGCACGGAGGGAGAGGGGGCGGGCCGCCCTGCGCTTGGAGGCCTGGACCTGTTGACTGCTATTGGTCCGTCCGGACCCGCGCCCCAGCCGGCCGCAGCCCCAACCCTTCCACGGAGTCGTGGGGAGGAAATAGGGCTGGCTGTTCTCTCCGCCTCCCTCCAACTTTCTTTTTTTTTCTTGGATGGGGGTGTGTGTGATGAGACAGCCTGGTAAAGTCCACCGCTGCCCCATCCTTTCTTGGAAAGTATCGTCATGCGCGGGCCCCCAGCTTCCCAGCCCCCGCTATTTAAAACCTCCTCCCTCTGCGGACCCGCTCCCCTGCCCGGAGCCGGCGGGCCCTGGGTGCCCCCGCGCGCCGCCCCCGCTTGGCCCGGCGACGTCCCCAGCGAATTGTGTTGCTTTTCTGCCCTGGAAGCTCCCTCGTTCACCTTCCACTTTTTTCCCCGTCCCAGGAGGCGTAAGATAAAACCTCTGATTGCTGCGTGCTGCCGGACACATCCTCTGCCCTCTCCTCAGAAGGCATGCGATGGAGAGTTTAACAGTATTTAAAGGAAGAAATAAAAGAGGAGGGATAGTGCTTTGCAGGTTTTAGACAACATAACATGGCGTTTAATTTTAACGCGAGAGATGTGTTTAAGGTTAAAGGTTTTCTTGGATTTGCTGTATTTCCTTTTAGGTTTGGGATTTCCTGAGGAAATTTTTTTTTCCGGAGGGAAATAGCAAATCAGCATTACTGGAAGTGAGACTTCTCAACCACTTTTGAAAATCAAGGGGGAAATTGTAAAAATACCTTAAAAAATAGCGGGAAAAAGGCCGCAGCGAGAAAAGAAGCTGCATAAGAAAACGCCTTGGGGTCGCAGTCGAAAAGGAGGGCCGGGCGCGAGGGGAAGCGGCGAGGGGGCGGCTGAGAAGCAAGCACTAGGCCAGGCCCCGGGCTGGCGGAGGAATGAAGGCGCCTTAGGCCGGGCGAGCGGGAAAACCCGGACAGGAGGGTAAATGGGAGGGGGCACGCGCGCGGCGGGCTCGGCGGAGGAAGCGGGATCCGGCTAGCGTCTCCCCGGCCGCCCCCATTGTTCGGCCCTTGCGAGGCAGTTCGGCTAGCTAGTCTTTGCCCTGGGAGGGGTCCTGCGGCCCAACCCGACCCCCACCTGCGCCTCCCAGAACTCCCAAAGACTCGGGCCCGGCGGGCGCTGCAAGTTTTACGATCCGACTCGGCCAGCGAGGGGTTCGCAATTCTAGACCTCGTAGAAAGGCTTTACAACGTGCCGCTAAATTGAGGGAAGCTGGGCAAGCCTGCAACTCACGTTAGAAGGGAAAGCAGCCTAGATATGTCTGTAAATTGATCACTAGATAAGCGACGAAAGTGAACATTTTTTTCAGCATTTGGAAAATTAGAGCTTATCATATAAATATTTGAAAGATCTTTAAATGTATGGATTGCAAAATGAGTGTCAGGGTTCAGAGGAGTTCGGAAAAGCACGTTTTGCTATCCCTATTTGTGATTACTCAGCTCTTTGTTGTATCCAAGAAGTCCAATTTTAAAAGCGAGGACTTCATTTCTTAACGTGAAATACATTTTCAAAATAACATTGAATTTCAAAAGGGAAAAAGTCCAGTGTGTCTTTAAAATGCGCATGGAAACAAATAATTGCAACCCAATCTATGAAACTACTTGTTTTTCCTTTGTCAGGCATGTGGGGAAAATATTTCTGGCAAACGTCGAGGTTTTTAAAAATGAAGATTTCCAACAAGTGCTCTTGTGGGCAAGACCAAAGTCATCGTGCGTGAAAGGTCCTGAAAAAATAATTTCAAGTTGTCTGGCCCAAACCGTACTAGGACAAGAGAGTAATTTCAACTTAGATTTATAATAGACGTTGTGGAAATTTCTTCTAAAATACTCATTACAAGCTTGTATTATGCTATGGTGTTTCCCAGGGTGGATTTTTAAAAACCAATTAGAATTGATCTCTAATGGAATATTATATTTACATGTCATCATGAAAACATCATTTGACAAGTTTTGAATTACAAGAAAAAGTCAATAGATGATGTTCATAAATAACATGTTTGAAAAGACCCCTTAAAAGTCAGTTAAAGGTAGTAATGGTTGTGATTTTACATTTGAAATGTTATAGAAGTTGATTGCATTTTAACACTTTCATTTAGCAGATCTTTTTTCTAAACTTGTATTTCTTCCTGGAAATCATTGAGTTATTTTGAGATTCATAGAGAAATTGTTATCTAAGAAGTCATTTGAAACTAGCTAAGGAAAGGTTCAAACAGAAAAATAAAATGGGGGTTAAAAATTATTTTCTGTTCTTTCTGTTCCACACTCATCCATCCCCCGCATAGTCCCCCCCCTTACCCTTTATATTCAATTTACATTTTTGTATAAGCCTTTGAATATTTAGAATAGCTATACAAGTTTACCCCGCCCCCCCACATCCCCTCGTAGTTGATAGTAAAAGGTGAATCTTTTTTCATCTTTTTCTATTTCGGGTATTTGTTCCATTTAAAGTAAAAAAAAAAAATAGTTACAAGTCAGGATGTACTTGTGAGAAAAACAACAAATGGGCAGAAAAAAGGGCATGAT